TAGGCCTGTTCTAAAAACACACCCATACAAAACCCCCCACTGAAACACAATCCAAACTACGCCAGGCCGGCCGCACGGAATAGATGGGCCTTCAGGGCTCGGCGAAAAAGGCGCAGGTCCGCAACTGTACGTAGGTCGGGGGGTAGGTCATTCCAGAGGGCAGGAGCTGCCACAGAGAAGGCTCTCCCCCTGGGGGTCAATGTATTTCAGACAGTATGAGGTAACTTAGAAAGTTGAGGACACATAATGTTTCCCAGGACTGGGCAGTAATTCAACAAAAAGAGAAAAGACACTTTGGAGAGCGCAGGTGAATGAATATTGCAACTGGCTACAACTTCAAATGTGTCATATGCTTGCCCTACACAGAGAGAGAATAACAGAATAACAGAATTGGAAGGGACCTTGGGGGTCTTCTAGTCCAACTCTGTGCTTAAGCAGGAGACCCTGGCCTATGCCATTCCAGACAAGTGGCTGTCCAGTCTCTTCTTAAAAGACTCCAGTGATGGAGCACCCACAACTTCTAGTGGCAAGCTGCTCCACTGATTAATTGTTCTCACTGTTAGGAAATTTCTCCCTAGTTCTAGGTTGGTTCTCTCCTTGATTAGTTTCCATCCCAGTACAATAGTTTTAATCGCTCCCCAACAAAAAAAAAATCCTGGTTTGGTCATTCAAAAGTTTTCCCCATTGACTTTGCTTGTCAGAAAGTCGCAAAAGGTGATCACGTGACCTTCGGACACAACTGTCATAAGTATGAACCAGTTTCCAAGCATCCAAATTTTGATCACATGACCATGGGGATGCTGCAACATACACAACTTTTTTCAGTGCTATTGTAACTTTGAACAGTTACTAAATGAACGGTTGTAAGTCGAGGATTATCTGTGTAGCTAAATTTCCACCAATGGAGCTCTTTCGAGAAATTTGCCTGTAATTTTGACAAGGACCTCTTGAGGGCACTGTGACACTGAATAATAATAAAATCCGACTCCTTTCTATCATACATTACTGGAAGAAGAACAACACAACATGCAGTGATCTTAGTTACCATTTTATATCAAGTCCTTATGCATCGTTAAACAGAACACAATCTTTAAAATTAATCGAATTACATGTTGATAAGCATTCTCCTAGAAAGAAATGATAATAAAAACCTACAGAGAAATGTTTAGTTGTCTCCAAGCACAGCAGGGAGTTTAGTTTTTCTTATACAGTATGTAAAATTCGTATGTTATATAATGGTCATAAAATGTATTTTAGAACTTGTATTTGGCTGATGTTGTCCAAGTTTGGAAGCTCAGCAAGATCAAACCTCTAACATTCTAAGTCAGGGTGGGCAACTCTGACAACCTGTGGACTTCAACTCCCAGAATGCTGGCTCAGGAATTCTGGGAGTTGAAGTCCACTGGTCATAAAGTTGCTAGAGTTGCCTACCCATTCTAAATGATGCAGGTGGAATAGAATGGAACGGAACAGAACAGAACGGAACGGAACAGAACAGAACAGAACAGAATAGAATAGGAAGGGACCTTGGAGGTCTTCTAGTCCAGCCCCCTGCTCAAGGAGAATCTATACCATCTCAGACAGGTGATTGTCCAGTCTCTTCTTGAAAATTTCCAGTGATGGGGCACCCACGATTTCTGGGGGTAAGCTGTTCCACTGGTTGATTGTCCTCACTGTCAGGAAGTTTCTCCTTAATTCCAGGTTGCTTCTCTCAGGAGGCAGGGGGGCAATAATAAGTCTTCTCTAGGAAGTTGAGTCTTCACATAATGTGTCCAAAGCAGAATAGTTTGAGCTGGTCATTTGTGCCGCAAGTGAGACCTCTGGGTTGATTTGTTTGATGATCCATAGGTTTGTTTTCTTGGCTGTCCACAGTATTTTTAGGAGTCTTCTCCAAAACCAAAGTTCAAAAATAACAATATTCTTTCTACCTTCAAAATTCAACTTTTATTTCATAGATGTCACAGATAATACCATGGCCCAATTCACCTCACAGGGTTGTTGTTGTGAAGAAAATAGGAGGGAGAAGGAGTATTAGATATGTTCACTGCCTTGAGTTGTTTATAAAAAAAATAATAAAGGCAGTAAATAAATAAATACTCCTTTACTGAGGATAGTTGAATTTAAAAGGTGGAGTATTGTTTCAGTATCTTCACTGTCCGTTGCTATACCTGTTGCCATTAGTTATACCTGTTTAAATTTAATCCTAGTCTTATTTTTTTCCTTGTCTTGCCTTTTATTACTAAAGCTTGCAGATCCTTCACGCTTTTTTCTATCAGAGTAATCATCAGCACAGTGCAGATTACTGATGTTTCTTCTTCCAGTTTTTAAAACCATGGTCATCTACTTCCAATCCAACTTTCTTTAATATATATTCAGCATATGGGTTCTATAAATAAGGGGAGAGTATACAGCTATCTCACATTCCTTTGCCTACTTGAAGCAGGAGAACAATGACATTTTCTGTGATTCCCATTTTTCTAAGCCCCTTCCACAGTTCAACGGGATTAACACAGTCAAAGGCCTTTCTATAATCAATGGAGCACACACTGAGCTCTTTGGGGGTGTTCTTTGACTTTTTCAATTATCCACCATGCGTCAGCAATAACGTCTTGTATTCATCAAAGATCAAGTTTGGAAGTTTCACCAGAACAGATGCTCAGCCTTCCAAACATCTGTGTTTACTTTTCTGTTTCTAATGGACTGTAAATCCAGCAGTTTTTTGCCTCGGTAATTTCATCAAACCATTCTTGTTTCTTTGAGAAATACAGTATTAGGCCACTCAACATTTTAGAAGCGTTACAACTTAAATGCTTGGGATTATTCAACTGTTATATGCAAAACAAAGGTACTGCTTCTGTAGATTGTTTTATTTGCATGGGCAATTCAGTTGATAGTAATTTGAGTTAATCCTTCTTATAATACTCTAACAGTTTCTAAAGCATGACTTAGTTTGAATTGACTTGAGAAAAAGCCAACTGTGTCTTCAAACAGAATACTAAATCAGGATTTTAAGCCATGGTCTGTTGAATAAATCATGTTAGATAGACTTCATGGACCACATTTGTAAACCAGGCCTGTAATCCTTACTGCAATACAGCAGGACAGGTTTGAGCATTCCCTCTTATCACTGTGATAACAAATGAGAGTTGTGATCTAAATAGGTAGCATCTCCAAGTCTTAGCCTAGCTAGCAGCCATCCAATAGAATAATACCGATAATGGTAGTCAAAATCTATCAAGAGGTCCAGCACAAAGATGCAAACTATGCAGTAGATAAAACATGTGATTCATACTGTCCTCAGTTTTCTGGGGGTAAATAAGCTTGTTCTGAATTGGCAAAATTTATCCATATTAATATGCTACTTTAAAATCCAGTCTGAGCATCTGCTCACCAAGAAAATGTGCTATGGGCTTCTACTGCAAGCAAAGTGACTTCTGGATCAGTCACTCATTGGTCAGTTTGTTCGCTGGTCCATAACTCATATTGGGCTGGTGCTTTTTTAATATATAGCATGTACTCATAAACAAGGGGTCTTCAAACATGGCCCTTTTATGACTTGTGGACTTCAACTCCTAGAATGCTGTCATAAACTATCAAACATGGAAGGTTAGTTGGCAAAGAAAAAAAGCCAGAGTAAGGCTGAAAGAAACTAGGGTTTTGATTTATTAGAGGGGATTCTATGCTATTGATTAGAGGGTTAAATATGGTGGAACATAATTTTTTTAGAAAATAAAGTAATATTATAATTGAATAGGTAAGATGTGTAATAAGACTAATAGATTTTTGGTTTAATATGGTAAAAAATAGATAATTTTTAGAAAATAGAATAAAATTATATGCAAATAGATAAGATGTGTATTTAGAATATTAGATTTTGTTATGAAAAGGGAAAAATGTAGAAGCTGAGATAAGGGAAGCTCTGGTCACCTAAAGTTTGGAAATTATAACATACCAAATGTTAAGTTGAATATTGAGGGGAAATTAAAGCCTGGGGAAAAAGCAATAACAGGACATTGATGTATATAAGATTGAATGCAAACATAATTAAGATATGTATAAGTTTAAAAAAATCGATAAATGTAACAAAAATGATTTTACTTAGTTGATAACAATAAGAACTATATTAGTTCAATATGAGATAGTAGATATTAAGGGAAAAAGAGAGGAAATATCTGATGATGTAACTTGAGATTTGTGCCAAAGATTTATGTATGTTATGGAATTATTGATTACTCAGTCACCACGTTGCTTTTTAAATATTTAATGTAAAACTAGAAAACTATTTAAAAAAAACTATCAAACATGCTTTTTCTTCTACTTCATGGGTGTCAAACTTGCCGCATCACGTAACGTGTCACGACTTTTTTTTTTGCATTGCTGGAGGCTGGAGCTGGGGCAGGCGCGGCCTCCATATGATGTAACCAGCCTGCGGGCCAGCAGTTTGACACCTCTGTTCTACTTCAACAGTTTTTAATGCATAACTACATTCTTCTACAATCAACAGTTACCTTTTTCCCAGATTTTTTTTTCTATCATCACCTGTTTGAATGCTTTTCCCCTGAACTGTCAAAAAGAGAAATAGGGATTGAATGTATTGTTGGTTTCACACTAAAAGGTAGCATTAATGTTTCTAGTTAGTAAATTAAAATCTGGCAAGGAATAACAGGATACTTACTTGCAAAATAAATATGCAGCTAGAAAGAGTGGAA